ATGTGGTCCCGAATATCTCCCCGTTTAACCAGCTTGGCCGCATTTTCTATGCCGATTAAACGTAGTTCTATGATTTCACCTTGAACTTTGAAATAGTAAGTCCCGGGACGCTGCTCTGAGCATGCGACGAATGGCAACCACGCCGTTCGCTCTCCCCGCTGACGAGTCGAACCCCGGGCTGCTGACAGACCTTCTCCTGACGACACGTTCTAGATGCCAAGAGGCCGAGGATGCCTGCAAAATTCACCCACTGAAGCACGTGAGTTAAACTTCTCTTGTCTGTTACTGTCGCGAGAAACACTCTTTTGTGTTGAGGAATACATTGTGAAGTTTATGTGTGATTCTGAACGCAAATGGGCGAAATAAACTCTACGAACTCAAGAAGTCGAAGTGACTTTTACAGGATTCTTCCTTAGGGCTTACGAGATACTTCTGGCATGCGCATTCAGGTGAGTTATACATCGACTGCACGAAAATCATCAAATGTTTTGTTAAAACTATTCATTTGTAAGATAAGCATCGATAAGTTCACTTGAATGCTCTATAATCATGAGATTGCTGTGCATTAACGTGAACATACCTATATTTATAATATTAGCGGTATATATTAACAGGTTTAGTCTGAAAACACCTTTGAAAACACATGGACTCAATTACTATTCTGTAATCTCTTTTCTCAAATACCATTTTTACACGAATCTCAGGTAGCAGCAATGATAGCGGGAAAATGAAAGAATAAATCATGCTTGAAGGAAAGCAGTTTTATTTCAAGTCTAATCCTATATCTGTCCCTGTAGGAGTTGCAGATAGGACTTCCTTGATACGAAACAGAAGCATTAATTTCAAACATTTCATATTCAGCGAAAACTGAGGTTTATAAATCATTTCTGTGGATTGTCTAACAACTAGTAGATACTGCTGTGCTCTTTTTTCATAATTCCTAAAAATCGCGCCTCGCTGTGAATCGTAAACTCTAAAATCCGAGTCGCTGGCTTCCCGCTAAAGCCTTCAGCCTTGTTCGAGCTTGTTACGCATCTTCTAGATGGCAAGTTCCTCACTCCTTGGTCCCATCACTATGTAAATCATTTCCTTCTCTGTTGTTTTGAATGAAGACCGTTGTGGGTAGAGTTTTTTTTGTGGAAACTACTCAATGGGAAAACTACTTTTAAGAGTCTGCAAGTAGTCTGCAAATAACTGAAGCACTGATAGTGTAGACGTTGTTATGATTAATAAACAAGTTACAGATATCTTAATCCGAAACCTGGGCTCCATCATCGCATTCGCATGGTAAGCGGCAACGGTGGTAACTATGAAAGTGCGGAGAGGAATGACGTTTTTTTTTTTCTTTCTAAAATTCAAGTCCAATTACTGTGGTGTACTGAGACCGTTAACAGTCAAAATTTCGTAGTGGGGCACATCCTGAAGCCTTCTCAGCGATATGTCTAGAGAGATGACGAAGACGCGTCTGCGCGAGGCGAGAGCTTGACTGGTTTGAGCCCGACCCGGCTCGGGTCAAGGCACAGGGCGGTCCGCACGGCAAGACCGCAGTCGGGGCCTTGATCTTGACCGGGTTTTACCTACACACAATATATGTATGTATGTGTGTATGTGTACACACACACACACACACATGTATACATATATATTTGTATCATACATATATGTATATCAATATTTATACATGTATATGTATATATACATACATATTATATACATATACGTAAACATACATATATATACACACATATATAATTATGATGCTAAAATTAGCACAAGTACTATAATAATCTTCACTGCATTTAAACAATATAACGATTAACCCTCCACAATCATTTTCCAATCATTAACATATTCATATGGAAGGTATAGTAAGGAAATTAAATACTTAGGAGACCTCAAAACCGTGTTACAATGTGCTTTTCATTAGTGCAGTTCCAATCCATGTCCTGCAATGGAAGTGAGGGCTTGGAGGCAGAGGATACTGATTTTTACGATCTTAAAGATTGACCAAGGAGTGTGAGATATGATGGCTAACAATAATGCTATCAGAATCTTACAGAAGATATTTATACAATGCAGACGATTGATCTCGAGGATTGTAACACATGATGACTGGCTGACAACTGATATGCTATCAATCCGGGAAGCATTATTTGTAGCCCAACGCAATATACAAAGGTTAATCAAAATTTCTACTTGTCTCTCATTTGCCCATACTTTTAACTCCAAAAATATGGTCCCTGTAAATGAATTTCCAAACCAATGAAAATCTAAAACTCAATGATAAACGATAATTACACGACTAGAAGGAAATATTTAAATTTGGTCTATATTCAGCTTTCTTAAAAATCCAAGAAAAGTAGTTGCTAAGCTCAATTTACTTATCCAGAAGTTAGAGCAGCTAATATTTCCATAGCACTAGCTCTGGCAATACTATTGTAAATGCTAGAAAAAATCTTTAAAATTAATATTTCCATTTCTATTGGCTTCTTTGCGAAGCAAAAAACAGGAATGGTAAATGAAAACAGAGGGCCCCCTCTATGATTTTTTCCAAGAGGCATTTTATTGAGAAAATCATTTATGTCTTATTGAACTCTATGAGAGTTGATTTTTCTTTTTGGTCATATAAGCAGTCACATTATGGTGTACTTGGGGTACTGGAATACTGCTTTGACATTTATCTAAAATTCGAATTAGAAAAGGTAATGAAACAACAATGATAATTTGATTATTATTCAAGCTATTCTTTTACAACAGCATAACACCACCAGACTGGCAGAGACGACCTGTTTACGAGCTTCTGACATTTGTTTGTGCTATGCTAAATAAAAAAGGAAAACATGGTTGAAAGGAAGGTTTCCTTATTTCTCAAAATGTCAATTACACAAACAGAGAATTATGATGTA